TTAGGATTAAAAAGACATGGTGGCTGGAAATCTTCAGCCGTAGCTGAAAGCTACGTTGAAGACTCACTGCAAAACAAAATTGAGTTTGCAGGAAAAATTTTACATGGCAATACTGATTCTTCTTCAGCAAATTCCACGTCTGTATCATGTGCAACATTTTCAGTTAATGCGAACGATCCTGACAAAGCCACATTCCCTATTACTATTAAAAATTGTGATAACTGTACGTTTAATTTTAATGTTAATAAATAAAATATTTGTGTATTCTTTTTTTTGTATAGTTTTTCATTTTTATTTCTGGATGATCTAGGATAAATTTCCGAATATGACTAATATTACTTACCGTTCTAGAACGGTAAGTAATTCACTTACCGTTCTGTCAGCCTTGCCAACCAGTAAATACAACATACCGACGTCAAAACACTGTCGGTAAATAATCAAAATAGTCAAGTCGTACAAAAAATAATTTTAAACCTATACAAAAAGCCTACTAGCTCCAATCGAATACTTAATTATCAATCAGCACACCCACTTCACCAAAAAATAAATATTATTAAACAACTTCAGAACAAAGTCTTTAGACTATCAGATAAAAGATTTTGGAAACAGAATATAGATCAACTGAAGAACACCCTATCTGCAAATAACTATCCCATAAACTTTACCAACCGTATCTTAAACCAACAACCCCGCAAAAACGCTAATAGCACCAACACACACGGCAGTTTGCAAACTATCAAAAAATATTACAAAATACCATATGTGAAAGGTCTATCTGAACCCCTCGGAAAAAAACTTGGTACACAGACCGCTGAAGTGGCAATGTACAATAAAAAAACAGTTAAAAATCTTTTTTCCCAAGTTAAACATCCCACCCCTAAAGATAACACTAGTAATGTAGTGTATAGAATACCATGCAATAACTGCAATGTATGCTATGTAGGCCAAACAAAACAATATCTGAAAAATCGCATATCAGAACACAAAAGGGATTGTAATATTACTAAGATAGATAATCCAAAAACAGGACTAGCAAGACATTACTTCGAAACTGGACACCAGTTTGACTTCCAATCATCGACTATCTTAGACAGTCACCCTAATTTTCAACAAAGACTCTTCTTAGAAATGTGCCATATAACGACTAATAAACCCAATGTAAACCTTAACATGGATACACAAAACTTAAGTACAATTTACTGCAACATCATAACCAATCAGTTATGAACCGACCATTCGATTGTTTTCAATTGGTTCTGTTCCCCAAATTAAGCTTTTTTAAAGGTGAAATTTGGTGGGGTGGGAATCAACATTATCAATAATTTAGTTTTACGTACCAATGCAGATCGATATGAAAAAGTAGTACCGAAACATCACGGCAAGCAATAGTACCGCTCTTTGGTGTGTGAACTTTTTTGTTTGTTGTTATTGATGAATCGGTCCGAATGATGCGATTCATAGCTTTAATAATCTAGGTAAGGTAAACTTTGGTAAGGTATTTTATAGATAACAATACGACGTTTTTATTAGTCAAATTAGGTAATTGGTTCTATGTTGTCTGGATTGATAGTTTTTCAAAAATATAATTTGTGAAACTCATTTTACTTATCTCTTGTTATGTAATAGTCATTGTTGAAACTTTTTAAATGTTAATTTATTTTTTATACGTCATTTTTTAATTTATTTTTTTTAAACCTTTGTAAATGCTTCTTTTTTTTTTTTTTAAATGTGAATTTATTTTGTCAGTCATTTTTAAAATGTTAATCGTTGTGAAATGCTTGTAACGTTCTTTGCATGTTTTCTTTTAGCCTTGAGAATGATGCGGAATGCGTCGAAACGTTGGCTGTTGATTTAGATATTTCATTAAATAAAGTCCAAATAAGCCGAAAACCGACTTTTCATTAACATATTCCTGGACGAAAAACACACTGTGTAATTGAACAGGGATGTTGCATATCACCAACGCTTTTTAAAATATACTTAGAGCAAGCGCTTAAGGGGTGGAAAAACAAGTGCAGACACATGGGAATACCGCTCAATGAATACAATTTATATACTTTAAGCTTTGCAGATGATCAAGTAGTAATTGCACAGGACTATGATGACCTGAGTACATGACACGAAAACTGATAGAGGAATACGATAAATGGGGTTTGGTTTGGAAGTAAATCTAACTAAAACAGAATATATGACTATAGGAGGTGAACAGCAAACTCTGAAATTGAATAACGGACAAGAAATATAACAATGTACTGAATACAAATATTTGGGCATGAAAATCTCACTGGAGGGAATCCTAGACGAAGCAATTAGAGACCGGAATATGCAGGGACGCAAGGCAATATCCCTACTAAATGGTGTACTGTAGGACCAAAATATCAACAACGCTAACAAAACTAGAATATACAACACCATAGTCAAAAGCATAGTCACATATAGCTCAGAAGTCTGGCCACTAAAGAACAGAACCGCAAAAATGCTGGAAGCAACTGAAATGGACTTTTGGAGGAGATCCGCAGGCAGGTCAAAGATGGAAAGGATAACAAATCTGAGAATAAGGGAGATTATGGACGTAAAACACACAATAGTAGATGATATAAAGGACAAACAGCTAATTTGGTTCGGACATGTAGTACAAAGAATGGCAGATACAAGAATACCCAAGCAAATTATTGAGTGGCAGTCAGGGGGAAGAAGAAGACGCGGCCGACCGAGAACGAGCTGGAGAAGTGGAGTAGACGAAGAAATGAGAGACAGAGGCTTAGGAGAGGATGCCTGGATTGACAGAGATGGTTGGAGATCGGGAATCGGAAGACGTAGAACGTTATAAACCGATAATTATATATATATATATATATATATATATATATATATATAATGAGAACCATTCTGTAGGATGAACATTTCAGAACAGAATTAAAAGCAAGGGCCTTCGACAAGACAGTAAGATACAGGATTATAGCAAGATGGATGTGGAGATCAACAAGAAAATAGTAAAACAAACACATAGATAAGTTGAAATTGGACGACGAAGACGAAGACGTGAATTGGAAGACGAAGACTAAGAAACGCGAAATTCGGAATGAGAACTTGGGGTAGACCACCGAAATGCTGCAAAGAAACGGGGGACTTCTACTTCCGAAGAGGCATAAAAAGTTAAAACAAGAAGCTAGTAGTTTACCATTTATTTTATGGAAAAACATATTAGAATAAGAAAAAGAACAAAGGATTCTAACTCAAATGAACGAATTACGCTTGGACCTCAAAATTTCTTCTCAGGTTAAAAATTAGAGGACCCAATGGGGATTTTGAAATTACATCCCTATGAGTCATGGATACAAAGACGATTGGAATAAAGTCCCCAAATGCAATACTCTCTCTATATACTCTGGAACGGTATGAGATGCGATTTGAATACGAGGCTGGTTCAATTAGGGTAAAGTTGCATAATTTCTTGCTCAGCAAAATGTCGTTTGGAAATATTGGATTAAGTAGGTATTTGAACATTTCAGAATGCCATTTTGAGTTTGTTAGCCCGCATAAACCTGTCAACGCTTAATTTATCAGACAAGATCTATCGTTCTGATTCCTCTATACTTAGTGATGATTATCTAATACCTAGCTTCAGAAAAATTGAACATTGTAAAAATGCAAAAATATAAAGTTGCTATCCATCCAGAAAAATGTGAATTTGGTAAACCTTCTACATAGGATTTTTGATTTTTCGAATATTTGGTCTCTACACAAGTACACACAGCCCAAGAAAAATCGAAGCAATATAAAATTTTGAACCACCACAAAACTTTGGCATCTCTTAGTAAATTTTTGCGTGGTAGATTATTATCGCTTCACAATATCAGACCCTGCCACTTCAAAGCCCGCCTAACAAATCCAGAAAGCTAATCTTATGTGATGAGTGGATTCCAAATTACTAAATATTTTGAAAAGTCAGGGTAGGTAATTTATTATTTGCTTTCTGTATCTGCGGCTAATATACAAGAGGTCGTCATTTTCAACAGGTTAGTTGGTATTGTGTTGTTCCAGCTTTTAATGCACTCTGGATCAAAACTTCCCTAAACCGTTCGGTTTAGCAAACTTCTTTCTGCAATGCTAATCAGTTCTTTGTTCACACTTCTACATTGTCATGTTTCAGAGGTTTGTAAAACTTTTTTTCTACTGACGTTTCATAATAGCAACTTTTCGATTGTCATTTCAGTTTTGAAACGACATTCTTTTAGGCACTGAGTGCGTGAAAGTTACTTTTAGGCACTCAGTGCGTAAAAGTGACTTTTGAATGCGTAAAAGTGACTTATGAGTGCGTAAAAGTAATTTTTAAGCACTAGTGCCTAAAAGTGTCATTCATTATTCAGAAATAAAAAACACACTAAACACATATTTGAATTTTGTTTTGTATTTATTATGAATATTGAAAATTGAATTACTGAATTGAACGTTTGGGTTACTCAAAACAGAACTTTGTGTTATTACCTACTTTCTAGGATTTTAATTATTGATGTCGAACTTTGAAAAGAAAATCGCATGAAAAGTGTCAGGTGTCAAGTAAAAGCAGGTAGCAAAGATTTTGGGTGTAATCGACTTATTCACATGAAATAAAATTGTGTTTTTTTATTATAAAATGCCAGTAGAAAAAATCTTGTATACAATACGTTACGAAACGGTGTCTTTTAGTCACTCGACGTGTTGTCCAACTCGGCTTTGCCTCGTTGGACAATTTTCACGTCGCGTGCCTAAAAGACGCTCATTTCGTAACTTATTGTATAAATAGCTATATTGGTTCTAAACATCTTTTCTTTGTCATATACCGCTACTTTCGTTATTTTTAATTACGCCTCATTCTTTGGATTAGTTGCTCAATATTTCATATCATTATTGACTTGCTGCAACCGTTTTTCTGCTCTTCTTGCTTGTTCCTTTATGCTAGCTGCGTTATCAGGGTTATTAAGTTGCTATGGTAAGATGTTTGAAGAAAAAAAATGCAACAAACTTAAACAAAAATTTAATCCAATACTTAACTATAACTTAAATCCCACATATGGGTTTGGAAATAAACAATAATTATGACTAAGGAAAAACTATACCTGAATGTTATAATTAAATATTTAAAAAAAAAAATCAGGATTTTGGTGGTTTTTAGAAGTACGTGAATCAAATCCCAAGAAGAATCCGGTGCAACTTTAAATAAATCTAAGAGCACTTTTTCTTTTTAATGCTTCTAATAAGTTCCAGAACACCTATTTGAAACTCTAAAGTTTGACTATCTTGAAACTCATTTATCGAAGGAATTATAGCTTTAAAAAATGAGATATGTCTATTTTCGCCGTCCAACTTCATTTCCTCTTCACTTGTCTCTTCCACTTCTTCAATGTTCCGTTTATATGAAACGGAAGGTTTAGGCTCTAGCTGAGGATAAAATATCACCGATGGTGACGAATCATCATCTTCGCTGGAGAATTTTTCTTCTTTTACAATAATAGTCTCACATACATTTTCTTCTGTTCCAAAAAAATTATCATCCAGTTCGAATTGGTATACATTTGTCAAAAACAGCATTTGATCATGATAGGTGTAGTTTCTCGTTAATCTGCAGTCGGGTTGCATTCGTTTTTTCATGTGTTTTATCCAGGAATCTCTCAGGTTCGACCATCTGCTTTTAACTAATTTACCTAAAAGAAAAATACATATTTGATGATTTTAATAAGCATCCTATACTAACAAATAATAGTTTATTATGTAACCAGTTACAAAAAGCATATAGGTACCTAAGTTGCAGCGCGATTTTTCTTTAATTTTGACTTTAGCAAGTGATAATTATTAGAAGTAGGATAGTAGGGGGTGGTCAATGTATAACCAATAACCCTGTACAATTTTTTAATGGGAAATTCTGTCATGGGCAAATGGGCATTATTCATTTTGTACTCAAAGTACTGAAAACAAATTATTTGCTAATAACACACTAAATATAAAGTTAGATTAGAGATAGTACTACTTCACCCCTCCACCGCTACTTTACCAATAGTACCAATCCTAATTCTACCTATTAAATAAAATATTATTTATTCGTACTTACACAATTTTGTTTTGAAACCATCATCGTAGCTCTCAAAATGTACAAACAACTTACAACAAACTTCGTGCCATCCAGTATCAGTTAAATTTTTGTTTTTGTAGTCGCTCCGTCTTCTGTCCCACAGTATACTACGTTCTGCAACTAGTTTAAGCAGATGTTCTGTATCAACTTCTATACGATAACTACTTGGAATATTCCCAAATACCCCGTGGTCCATCGTTCCAGTTGAAGATTATTGAAAAACTTCAATGAGAATAAACAAAGCCTAGTACAGTCCGGTGCGTATCGGCATCGGCGTGCAGGTAGAAACGAAAAGACCTAGCACAAAACAATGCAAAGTACCGTCGCCTCCTTAGGTCGCCTCTCTACGAAACGGATGACGGGTCGACGGGTTTTTCGAACAGAAATCGGGGACGGCGCCATACACAGCGAACGTGCACACGTTTCTATCGGATGTGAAGTGAAGGTCGACGCTTGGTAGAGAGCGATAAAACCAATAGAGAGCTATTGGACGTCCAATAACGGCAAGCAGTAGCCGTACCTACTGAAAACTGCGTTATTTTGACATAGGTATATAAGAACCAAGCACAGCAATGGATTCAAGCTCTCAATACAAATACCTAGTGCTTCTTGTCTTCCTTATTCTGATCGAGCTTCTCTTTATTACGCTTCATAATTATTAGAGTATGGAATTGGTAGCGCAGGAAGTGCAGAATCGAAAATTGGATTATCTGAAAAGAATTTAAATGGTATTGAAACAAAATCCCTAGTCTAGTGCTTATCTTGGGACATAGAATTATTGATTCTTGTGTTCTGATTGGTGGAATTTGTGAAAATTTGATCAACTATCGACTATCCCCGTATTTTATATTTTGAATATTTTGAGTTTTTCTGACATGAAAAGATTGAAAATATGCATACGCGGTGTGCTGCCCATAACCAAAGTTTATTAAATAGCGGGAAAATAAGAAAAGCTGATTATATTATAAATAATCGATCAAAGCGTTACAATTTGAAAAGTACCTATCGGGAATATCTCCTAGGCAAAAAATACCATCAGGAAGATCTCAAATACGTATCGGAGGAATGGAAGGAGAACCAAAATGAGGCACTTTTTGAGTCCCTAGGGGGCAGCTACCCTAGCTTATTTTTTTTTTAAATGAACCTATGTGCCTTGTGTTTAAATAGCTCGTTGCTTGCCCGTTACAGTATTATAGCAAAATCTCAACGATGTCGTACGAGTAGTTTTTGAGATATCGGTGCTTAGTAATGTGTTTATTGCCTAACCCCCACCCCTCTTGTCTTAGAGGCTAACCAGTAATCGCCCATAATAATTTTTCTTAATTGATAATTCACCCTGTGGAAGGTTTTTTATTCCTCTTTACAGGCGTGCAGAAGAAGATAGTAAGCATAAGGCCAACAGTAACTTGATGGCAGCGTGGACAAGAAAAATCAAAAAATAAATGGGTATTTTATCCAGATTTTATTTGTGATTTTGTGCAAATCGAGGAAAATCACTTGAATCTTGGATATAATGGGCATCTGGGGCTAAATTCCTATATCAGGCTCGGCAGTCAACGTGTTAACAACTGCGCAACCGTCATCCGCCTCGGTTCGCGGCTCGTGCAGTCGTACGTTCTTCACCCTGTAAAATTAATAAGAGCTTGGTGGGAGCCCTAAAACAATTCTAAAAGGTTAAGGCAAGGAGTGTTGCGTTGCCAAATTGACGTCAAAGTATATTATTTTGTTTGGGTTAGATTTTTCTAACAGGTGCGGACAATGTTTATTGTTTAACGAGTGACGAAAACAGTAAAAACTGCTGTAGGTAATGTTTCCAAGTTACAGAATAGCTATTTACCTAACAAGTGCGGAAAATGAATTTTTCCGCACGCGGCTGCCGTTCACCGAACGACGCGTAGCGGAGTTCGGTGATGCAGCCGAGTGCGGAAAAATATTTTCCGCAAGTGTTAGGTACAATATTTTTCCTACAGGCGAAAAATTTTACAATTTTTCTTTTTTTTTTTGACATATCAGTGCGGTAAAATTTTTTCCGCACTGACAGCCGTGCGGAAAAATTTTTTCCGCACTGACATGTCAAAAAAAAAAGTTTTACCGCACCGTGCGGGAAAACTCATTTTCCGCACGCATATCAGTGCGGAAAATCGATTTTTCCGCACGGCTGTAGGAAAAATAATTTTTGACGAGAATAGGGTACTTGCATGGGAAATTAAATTGATTATTGTTTATTGCAAACTGTAGGAAATCGAAAAAAAATCGTTACTTTTTTTTAATTTCGCCCAAATATGATTATTCCAGAAGTTATTCAAATATTAAGTTTTGTATATAAAGATATACTGAGCATGTGCAACGTCACTTATCTATTAGATAAGTGACGTCATAGGCAGATTTCATAGTGTTGTATCTCCGTCAATTTTTGACTAAGAAGCAAAAGAAAAAACACGTGTTGACTTATTTTTCATGGACTATCGAAATCAGCAATAAAAAAATTTGATGCAAGGAGCCTATTGTTTATTTTTCAATGGTCAGAAAATATTGGAAAATGGCCGCGTTCACCAGATACAAACGTTGGTAAACGGTTTGCGATTGTTCTGCTGAACGCTACGTTGAATTTGTGTTAAAACCAAACATATTTTGCAAACGGTCGCCATTTTTGGAAGTATAATTTCAGAATGTTTATAATTTTCAACACTGTGTTTTGTGTGATCTGTCACTCAGACGGTGACGTTCCATCATTGAAAAGTTAAATCGTTCAGTAGAACCAAGAGTTTACCCAACATATTCTGTTGGTATTTGTAAACTGTTTACAATCCGTTTTGGTTCTGGTAAATGTAGCCATATTGTTGTATTAGGAGTAGAAGCTTTACTTTTTTGTGCTGAAGCAGTAGGTTTGCGAGCCGAACGTAGTGAGGCTTGCAATACTGCTGAAGCACAAAAAAGTGCTTCTACTCCGTATGCGACACGCTATTTTTTCTCCAAACGAATGGAGTAAGCTCGAGGGTAACTGAATGTTTGAGCGGCAGTAAAAGTACGAACGGCACTAAAAGTACTTTTGCTGCCGCTCCAGCGGCACTAAAAGTAATTCTACTGCCGCTGCGGTTGCCTACTAGCAGCATATAAATTAAATTTCTACCACCTCAACAGGTGTCAACCTGCTGGATTTGCCTAGCAGCATAGAAAATAAACTGACATCTTGACAGGTGTTGACAAAGTGACGTTTTTTTGACGTTTGGAGAAAAAAACTTTTTGCAGATGCTTGTTTCTTTGTGCGAAGAAAGATTTAGATTTTATTGGAATTTTCGACATTTTTATACAACAATCGTAAACAGGATTGTTCATCCTAATAAGGCTTACGATCACCAATAATTCTTGAGCAGGCAGGGTCTGCGAGTGACATCGCCACAGCTGCTTATAGTGATGACGTCACCCGCAGACCTCAATGGAAGGCTTGCGATTTAGGCTGTGCTCATTATTTAATTTTTTCGTCGATTTTAAATGTAGAAAAGGTGATTTTAACAAGATTTTGACGTTTAGGAATTCATTTTTTTGTGTGCTTTGAACTCGAATAATGCATTTTACTCCAAGAGTTGAGGTATGCTGCGGTATGCAGCTGACATAGCAGTTGGCAGATACTTTTAGCTCAATAAGCAATCCTACTAGGGATTGAAAACAGGATAATCTCTGCCATTTTCTGGACACCTGAAACTAAGATGATCCGTTTTTTTCCTACGAATGTGCGGAAATAGTATATTGTGTATTTAGGTGGAAAAGTGACACACTCTCGGCCGACGGTGTAAGTTGACGGGCGAGGCGTAGCCGAGGCCGGCAAATACCGAAGGCCGAGAATGTGCTTTTCCATCGGAATACACATACTATTTTTTCTGTGATCGGACCTGTTAAATGTTTGTCTTTTAGTTCCAATTATTCTGCAATACGAGAATCACTTTCCCGGACTAGGCCGGAAAAGTGTTTCCCGTATTGTTATTCATTGATTCCTTAGCAACTATTGAAACATAATTGAAATACCAGAATATTGAGTTTTGCGACTTGTCAAGCGGTCAAAAATGCTGACATTTCTTGTCAATCGCAGAAAAAAAAACTTTTGGCATGCACAAAGAGTAATCTTTCCGCACACCCTTCAGAAAAATTGTGTTCCTTAAGCTAGGGTTGACAAACTATCGAAAAAAAAACTATCGATAGTGATATCGATAGAATGGCTTACCTATCGATAGTACTATCGATAGTTTGCTCTGACCAAATTACCCAAATTTCTAATTAATTACGAAATAAATGTATCAAATGACAACAATACCATCATAACCTTAAATAACCATTAACCTCCAACCCCCATCAAGTCCATGAAAGCCACTCGTTACTCCTGTTAACCTAAAAATTCAAAATTGGCAGCACAGCATGTTTACCCCCAAAAATTATTACAGATTTCTCAAAACAGCTACACATTTCTTTATATTTACTCGCTACTGAGAAACCGACCCTCAAGAGTTTGGAACACTCGAGCTACTCGCTCCGGTGTTAGTCGACTCCGATTTGAAAGGAAGAATTACGTGGTGCAACAAAGACTTTTCGAAAGGAATAAGCACATAACGCCCCGGAGCTGTTCCGGAGCTCCTCCTAGGTGTGAAAGGAATACAACTATTGCAACTGGACACGCTTACCCTGGAGTTAAAACCAACCCGGAGGTGACTCGCTATTGAGAAACCGGCCCTTTGGAACTATCGATAGTGGCACAGGTCTATCGATACTATCGAAAATAAAAAAAATATCGATAGTATCGATATTCCTATCGATAGTTTGTTATCCCTACCTTAAGCCTAGTACTCATAACCGCGAAATTCGCTTTTTTACATTGCTTCGACAATTTGACGTTTGATTCACGCATAAAACGTCAAATTGTCGAAGGAATGTCAGAAAATAGCGAATTTCGCTGTTATGAGTACTAGGCTTAACACTTGCGAAAAATGGTATTTCCCGCACTTGTTAGAAAAATAACGTTTTTTTCCTGAATTTGATATGAAAAAATTTTCCGCCCTGTAGGAGAACAAACGAGTTTCCAGTTCTACTTCAACCAAAAGACAGTGCTTCAAAATACAAAATTTGTAGTTTCAATTTTATTCAATTTTTAATTTATTCAATCATAAGCAGTATAATCAAATTATGAAAGGTTATTATATTCTGTGTCCACTCAAAACTCAAAAGGCCGGGATAGTAATAATAAACAGATGTGGTGGCGTGGCGTGGCGCTGATTCCAGTCCAAACATGAAAATGCCAAAAATTGTAACGTCGCATATAATTTGTTTCGGGGCTATCACCAAGCTCTTGTGTAAAATTAATCGTTTAGGTTCAAGGATCGTAAACTCTGCAGGATTGGTCACTCGGATAACGCACACCTAACGTGGGATTTTTGGGCTCTATGGATTTTGCCCATTTTTTGATATGTTGTAGAGGATTCAATTCTTAACAACCTTTAAATGGGATGAAATCTTGTAGGTCTTTGAGATATGAGCGTTGAAAGATGAACTTTTTTGCGACTTTTTGTGTGGAGAGTATACGAAAAACTGGTGTTTATCAGTCAAAATTTTGACAGGTCGACATATTTCACGTCATTAACAAGTGTCAACATAGGCTAAGGCCAGGACCGCACTGGTGCCAACATTGACCCCAGTACGGTCCCGGCCTTAACCTATGTTGACATTAATTTTTAAGCGACGTAAAATATGTGAACCTGTCAATATTTTGACTGATAAACAACAGTGGCACCAGTATCTCGTATACTCTCCACACAAAAAGTCGCAAAAAAGTTAATCTTTCAGCGCTCATATCTCAAAGGCCGTAATATCTAGAAGATTTCATCCCATTTAAAGATTGTTCAGAATTAAATCCTCTACAACATATCAAAAAATGGGAAAAATCCAAAGAGCCCAAAAATCCCATGTTGGGTGTGCGTTATCCTTTGTTCACAAGTGGTGTGACGTCACCTGCATTCCAGACTTTCAAGATGGCCGCCGATACAGATGATAGTTGAGTTTGTGCTGACAATTATTTAATCGTAAATTCGAAGTTTATCAAGTGTTAGTGTAATTTAAAGTTTCATTTAATGTGTGTAAGCCACACCCGGTTTGTACATGAAATGTGTCTTGAATTTTGCGTAGAATTCAGAAATATCATAATAGACGAGAACTTACGAGAAGTGCCATTCCAAAAAAAAAATTGGATACCGGCACAGCTGTTCTTGGAACACCCTGTATAAACAAACTTTGTGTAAAAAATGTTTAACCTAAAAACAAAAACGACGGGTCCAACGTTTTAACTTTAATGAACAGGCTCCCATTTGCTTATTATCGTATTTCATTGATGGCCGTTTACACCGACCATTTTAAGGAGGCCTTAGCGATAAGTTTTCCCTAAAAATGACATTTTTACATAAAGAAATGTCACTTTAAGGAACACTTATAGCTAAGGCTTCCTTGAAATTATTGAAATGGTCGGTGCTAACGCCACTAACGGCCATCAGCCGTATTTATTCCATTTGGCTGTTTTTTTTTTTTTATACACAGTGTATACAATAGGCCCCTTGCATCATGAGAATACAAAGCTACAATAGGTCTGTTTTCACAGAAATCAAAACCAGTCAGCATTTTTGATTGGTCAAAATCGCCAATAACCAGTTTTCTGACTATTTTCATTTTCATCCAATGTAATTAATTCGCTCTGACTGGTTTGTGATTTCTGTGAAAACAGACCTACTCTCGGAATGATGTAGAATTTTGTGTAAATTCCGAAAAAGCTACAAAGTTTAGGCATTCCATAGGAAAAAATGCAAGGAAAATCTACCTTCACCTTCCTTTGATAAATGATAAATCAATTAATTTTCCGATTCGATTTTTAAAAAAGATACCTGCCTATCAAGGATTTTCACACTACACAGGATTTTGGGATAGCCTCAAGGTTTTCCTCAAGGCCTGTGTAGTTCATAGCTGTTTTCTTGCGTTCATTTTTTTGAAACTGGTTCAAAACAGGTTTGAAACAGTATATTCTCGCGATGAACCCGTGACGTCACATTAAAATTGGTTCAAACCGTTTCGAAATACGATCCAAACCACGTTTCATAGCATTTTCTCGCGCCAAGAAGTCATGACGTCATATGACACTGCTTTAAACCAGTTTTGAAAAAGGTTTCATAACATTTGAGACGCGAGAAAATACTTCAAATCTCAAGCCTCCCACGGCCCCCACCGGACAAAGTACGTTATAGCGTGAGCAGCGTGTCGAATCTCGCCTTAACGTAGGGTGTTTGCAAGGATATTCAACACTACTATAGGATTGCTCATCGGTTTCGATTTTTGGAATCAAGGTAATATGGTGTTGCACCGTTGTCGACGTCATCAACGATGTCGTAAGCTGTTTGCGCCAGCGGCCGTAGTTTGGAATATGCATTTATGATGAAAAATATTTCGATCAGCAATGGACCAGAAAAAGATGCAAACGAAATCTAAAACAGGGTTGTTTTACAATAGCCAATTTCTAGCGATTGACCAGTCGGTCATCTTGACAGATAAGTAATGCATTTAACGTCTTTCATCGTTCAGTCGGTCAATCGTTGGCTATGTTAATTAATGTACTAAAACCGAAACCAAGTATGCATAGAGCAAAAGCTAGCGGAATCATAGCCTGTGGTGCGTACACACCCAGGATAATACACACTACTAAGGATTGGTTACTGGCCTCGTTTTTGGTAATCGCGGCCATATTAGTGTAGCACCATTGCCGACGTCATTAACTAAGTCGTCAGTTGTTTGCACCAGCGGTCCTAGTTTTTTTGATTAACATAGTGGAAGATGCAAAAGAAATTCAAAAAGCAGTTCAGCAGTTGTTTTGGAATGGTAATTAGTTAATGTAGTAAAACAAGGTGTGCATAAAGCAAAAACCCGCATAATCATAACATTCATAACCTGCCTACGTCACAACTAGAGATTTGGCGTGGTGGGGGGCCAAGTTTATCTGCGAGAGGTAGGATGCCTGCGACATACGTTTTGTCACTAAAACGACAGGTACTTCTAAATGGGTATTAAAAATTCTATAGATATTCTTTTATTTCTATTCTGCCCAATACAAGCTAAAATTGATGGCTTTTCTTTTCAAAAACATTCGTAATAGGCGGCAAATTCAAATTTTAAATGTAATTTATTTAGTAACTTCTGTTTTCAATGTTGACAGTAAGCTAGTAATTTTTTTTCCTAGTTTTGGCAATTATGTTCGCGCACCGCAATATGGCGTCCAAACAAAAGGTCAATTCCAAAAATCGAGGCCGATTTGCTTTGACAGTGTCAAAACAGTTTTTTTGTTATTTTAAAAAACATGCTATACCACACTATTTTTGGCCTTATATGATCGCCTTTTCCAAAAGAACTACGTTGAGGGTGTAATGTTATTACTATTTTAACCCTCCAATGGCGCAAAGTTCAATTTATGAGGCATCTAAACTTAAGGCCCGTATTCATAGTCGATGCTCAAGGTTGCGTCTTGGCTGAAGTACGACTTGACGCTATATTTGCTATTCCAAACAACATATGGAACGATGCTCAAAAATCGGAGCTTGAGCCAAGCACCCGTCTATGAATACCAGGCAGATTCTTTAAGTTAGATGAGAAATGTGCTAATTCGTAGGCAGCTCTTGTACCAAGAACACCTAATAAGACTACTTATTCAGCTGAAAGTGTCTGCCATTTCAGCCGCAGACCTCAATCTCTTGGTGTAAAATGCAGTAGCCGAGTTTGAAACAGTATAGGTCGAAAAAACAAATTCCTAAACGTTATAATTTTGTTAAAATCACCTTTTTTACATTCAAAATCGAAGAAAAAACAAGCACAACCTGTATCGTAAGCATCCTATCGAGGCCTGCGGATGACGTCACTATAAGCTGATATGCTGCTAATAGTGGTGACGTCACTCGCAGGCCCTGACGACTCGAGAATTGGAGAACTTATGCCTATGAGGATGAGCAATCCTGTTAGTTTACGATTTTCGACCCTGTACCTTCAATATCATAATTAATTAATTTTTTTAATTTTCTTCACACTTATCATAATAACAATAAATATTTATGTACCTTTTATTAAATTGAACAAGAAGTTGGCGATTATTTTTCAATTTCCAATCTTCACTGGATTGTTGATTTGGTACAATTACGTCATGTTTAGTACAACATTTTCAATCAAACCAACCATTACAGCTGCAGCAGCAGCGCACACACATGCGTGAATTTGAATTTGACAAGCATTAGTCGGTTAAAAATTGATAATGTAATGATAAACAAGCTAATTTTGATGAATAGGATGTTGTACCGTACCTTGGGTGTTTCTTGCTCTAGTTGTAGTGAAAAATAGTTGAATTAAAAAAAACTATTTCAGGACGAATCGAAGACAAATTTGTGATTTGATTAGCATAATATTTGAATTTATCGGTAAGCTTTGTTTTTATTAGTAGTACTTCGCTTACCTTTACCTCGGCTATCAATTAAGCATTTTTTGGGAAATTGTTACAAAAAATATCTACATATTTCCAATTTTTTAGTAAGTAAACCTCGAAGTAAACAAAAAACTAAAAACAAACAGAAAGAAATGGATTTTTTTTTTTTTTTGGTTTGGCAACATTGAACATGCTTGTTTCTGATTGGTCGAAGGTGAAAATTTGCTGTTTGGCGTTCCTTCAATACGTCAAATTTTGAACGAATGACGCCGCTAACGGTTTTTTTGTGTTTGATTTCATTAATGTCAGAATGTCTTCCAAATCACAAGCACAAGAGTGTTTATATTTGAACAAAATTATTTTCAATTTCCCAAGCCAGAGCCATTGAAAAAGCCAACAAAACCCAGAAGAAAAGGTAGCTGGAACCTGGTAAAATAATCAGGATTTCTATTAGAGACAAACAGATCAAGTTTATACAAGTTCGAGCAGTTTGTACTGTAGTGTTATGTTTTATAATTAGATAAGTCATAAATGGAAGGCATCAATATGCTCGGAAGGCTAGTTCTTGTGAAAAATGGTGTTTTGAAGCCAGATAAAGCGACTGCATTGAAAGAAGGAGAAAATATGATAGGCACAGGAGCTGGTTGCATTCTTCGCTTGAAAAGCCAGAAAAGTACAACACAGTCGGTATTGGACGTTCATTGTGTTATTGGTGTCAGCAAAAACGGAGCAGTAAGTAGACTTCTTTTACTTTTTAATGTTAGAACATTATGGTTGATATATTCGTGTACACAAGTCTTTATTGATTCTTCTGTAAATGTCTATCCTTTTTGGCTTCAAGAACAGCTCAGCCATTCTTCAATTAGAACAGATACTGGTCGTTTTAGTAGTAGTTACTCGAGTGAGTAGTTATAAAAAAGTATCTAGTCATGACATAAAACTATCAAGAAATCTATCTTAAATATCCGCTCAACATCCTATCAAACACGTTCACAAAGGAGGAATTTTTGATTTCATTGGGCAGAGCATTAAAAAGACAAACACCCTCGTAAAAAAGAGTCTTTTGCAGTGCCATTGTTTTCACTACCAGTATGGTACATGATAGTTTGATTTAGTAGGGACATTGTAAGAGTGAATATTACTTCTTATTTCCAAAAAAAAAATTAAATATTCTTGTACCAATTCCTTTTTTATTCTATAAATTAATAGCATATCTGCTTTTTTAACTCACTACTCAAGCTCAACAGACAGCCATCCTAGGCCATCCAACATATAACGAGAATGAATAGAAGTATATCTATCACATCCTAGGAGCATTCTCATAGCTTTATTTTGCTGAATTTGAAGCCTAGTTATGCTATCCTTGTTATATGATACAAGTGATGATATGCAATGCTTAAAATGAGGAAAGACAATGGTATTATACACAAGTTTTTTGGTCCATGAAGACAGATACACAGATATTCACCTGAAAACCTCAACTTTTTCCCTATTTTTTTACACAGGTAGTCCACATACCTAAAAATATTTTTTCTACAAACGTGTTAAAAATGCAATTTTTAACACCCCCTCGAAGCATTAAAAATGTTACTTTATTGCACTAGTGTTAAAAGTCTTTAAGGCACTAGTGTTAAAAATGAAACATCAAAATTTGAAAGCAAACGTCAAAAAAAGTTTGTATTTTTAATTATTTACATTAATATTAATGGTAAAATTTGAACATCTGAGGAAGCTCCATCGGTCGCCTCCACTATATTTTTCAAGGGATTGATGCAACCCTCTTTTTCTTGTGTATTTTGTTGCATTTTTAGCAAAAAGCTTACTGACCACGATAGACCATACGACAGACTTTCAAGAAACTGACGAGACATTTCATTACCTGTAAAACAAGGTGCTGGTTGTTTGAATTTTTTGACAAATATCAAATTCAATAATTTTACGTAGGAAAGATGCTTCCAATTTATTATTCATTTAAAAATTCAATTTGTCACTGGTTATTGCTTGTTATTGCCGTTTGTAGAAAAAATATTGTATGATATTTGTGTTAAAAGTATTTTTAAGGCACTTATGTGAATTGCAGAATTCGCTTCGCTCATTCTGCAAACTTTCACATGCGTGCCTTAAAAATGTACTTTTAACACTTATATCATAAATAACTATTTTCTACAAACGTGTTAAAAATGCAATTTTTAACACCCCCTCGAAGCATTAAAAATGTTACTTTATCGCACTAGTGTTAAAAGTCTTTAAGGCACTAGTGTTAAAAATGAAACATCAAAATTTGAAAGCAAACGTCAAAAAAAGTTTGTATTTTTAATTATTTACATTAATATTAATGGTAAAATTTGAACAACTGAGGAAGCTCCTTCGGCCGCCTCCTCTATATTTTTCAAGGGATTGATGCAACCCTCTTTTTCTTGTGTATTTTGTTGCATTTTTAGCAATAAGCTCACTGACCACGATAGACTATACGACAGACTTTCAAGAAACTGACGAGACATTTCATTACCTGTAAAACAAGGTGCTGGTTGTTTGAATTTTTTGACAAATATCAACTTCAATAATTTTATGTAGGAAAGATGCTTCCAATTTATTATTTATTTAAAAATCCAATTTGTCACTGGTTATTGCTTGTTATTGCCGTTTGTAGAAAAAATATTGTATGATATTTGTGTTAAAAGTATTTTTAAGGCACTTATGTGAATTGCAGAATTCGCTTCGCTCATTCTGCAAACTTTCACATGCGTGCCTTAAAAATGTACTTTTAACACTTATATCATAAATAACTATTATTTCATCTACCAACTCCACCGTTTCAGACTTCAATGTTAGTTTCAAACCTAACTCTCTAAATCTTCTACAGTTTATTTTAGATCCCATTATCATACACTTGGTCTTAAAAACATTTAATTTTAACTTACTTCTACACATCCAATTATACAATGTACTGAATTCATAATATCAGTGATTCCATGAAAATTTGTTCCAAATACAGACATAGGGGTATCATCGACATAAAGACTAACAAAACAATTAGTGGAGTAAAATCACAATGAAATTATGACTTTGAGTGATTCCGAGGTATAACCAGATGAAACCTATACCATCTTGTAGGGGACACTTTGGGGCATAGGAAATGGGAATGTACAATTTTTTTTAATAGGACTGAACTTTGAAATCGGCCCTTAAACGTGACTGAGCTCGAATTTGAAAAACTACATTTTTCTAAACATTATCCGCTGTATTAATTTAAGCATACAATCTAAAATTCTGATTTTTTGGACCCTGCGGCGAGCAATGTGTATTATTGAAAATTTCTATACATATACAGGGTGGGGACTTTAACTGGAACTAATTCGCTAGAGCCTTCGAATAAAATATGTGGACAAAACGCAAAAACACGTCGATCAAGATTTTTTGCTTGAGTTTTTTTCACATTAATTTTTTTATACAGGGTGTTCTAAGAACAGCTGTACGGTTGTCAACTTTATTTTTCCAAATGGTAGTCCCTGTATATTATGACATTTCTGGATTCTGCAGAAAATTCTAGACATATTTCATTCACAATGTCATATACCTATCTTCAACTGTTTCGGAAATATTGACAGTTGAAAATTGACTTTTTTGCAACTTTGACAGGCTGTAAAACCTTAACGGTTAATTTTAGAGGAAAACCGATTTCACATTCCTTTATTAGATTTTCATAAGCTATCATTTGACACCAACTTTGAATTTAATCCATGATTAAAAATTCCAGTTAAATTCAATCTCCAGTTAAATTCAAAGTTAGTGTCAAATGATAGTTTATGAAAATCTAAGACAGGAATGTAAAACTGGTTTTCCTCTAAAATTAACCGTTTAGGTTTTACAGCCTGTTAAAGTTGCAAAAAGTCAATTTTCAACTGTCAATATTTCCGAAACAGTTGAAGATAGGTATATAACATTGTACATGAAATATGTCTAGAATTTTCAGCAGAATCCAGAAATGTCATAATACAGGGGGTATATTTTAAGTGATACCACTATTGCTATATACGAAACGGTAAGAGCTACAGGGTGGGTTAAATTAGAAAAAAGTTTCCTTTTTTGATCCACATTTAAGACTCGTTTACAGTGTTGCCAAATTCCTTTCAGTTTATGAAATACAGGGTGATTTCTAAGAAAGGCCCAAAAATATTTCATCAATTATTTCGAAAACTATTTATTTTCGAGACACAATTTAAATTTGAAACTTTCATAATTTTTTCCGCTATACAACATGGCATCTTCAAATTTTTAATCCGATGTTTCGTGATCGAGCTACCATCATCAACTTCATTTTTTTAAATACGGACCTGAATTTTTTATGTCATTTTTAGGAAGCGCCTTTTATTCCTTTTCCAAAAATGATATAAAAAATCCATGTCCGTATTTAACCCTATAATACTAATATATCGTAATTTTCACGACGCTCGGTTTTCTTCGCTCGATTTCGTATTGATGCTATCGCCTAAACGGGTTGCACATCTGAGTACCTTCCTAGTTAGTATTCTTCTAGACGTTTCTCAGTGCGTATCGTTGTGGGCCTTTACTTGACTGAGTTTTGGTGCGATCGTCGTAAAATTTACGAGTGATTAGTATTAGCGTAAAGTTTTTGAAATAGTTGCTGATACCGGCTTAGTAGGTAAGGTTTTTTTTTTACGTTTTTTCTCTTCATATATCGATAGGTTACATTTCTTAGAAAATGGAGTCACGAAAAAAGCCGTTGACTGACCAAGAGTTGGAAAATGAAATTGAAAAAATAATGAATGGAGAGGACGATGTGGATTACGCTTCTAATAACGATGTCGAGAGTGACTGGGAAGAGGCAGATAATTTAGAAGTCGAACAAGATTCCAGTGACAGTATTAGCGATTTTGGTGGAAATGAGGTTGTAGAGGTAGATGTAGTCTCAACTTTAGAGGATATACCTGATCAAGATATCGACGATCAACTGTCTGATATTGTTTCCGCAAGAGATGATAGTTCATCTGATGATAACATTCCGTTATCCGAGTTATTGAAAAACAGAAAACGTAAAAGGTGTGTCGTAGAACCGAGATCTATTTGTTTGAAAGGAAAAAATGGGCACAAATGGTCTACAAAAATACCCCAAAGATCAAAAAGAACAGCTCGCCGAAATATCATCCATTTCATTCCTGGAAGTAAAGGTGGTGCCGAAACATGTACAACTTTGTCTGATTATTTTTGTCACTTCTTCTGCGATGATATTATGAGAACAATCCTCCGCTTTACGAATGACGAAATTGAAAAACAGTCCAAAAAATATACCGATAAGTTCACCGACTGTCTCAGCAGTAACTAAAGAGGAACTGATGGGGCTATTCGGAATCTTGATAATGTCCGCAGTAAAGAAAGACAACCACCTCAAGGCTAAGCAGATGTTTGATTCCAAAATATCCGGATCATTTTATAAAGCCTGCATGAGCTGTGAAAGATTAATTTTTTTGATAAACTGTCTTCGATTTGATAATAAAGCGACAAGAGAAGAAAGGGTGCAAGTGGACGCGTTAGCTCATATTCGAGATATCTGGGATATTTTTATTGAAAAATGCAGAACATCGTACACTCCTTCCTCCTATTTGACAATTGATGAGCAACTTTTGGGTTTTCGGGGAAGATGTCCATTTAGGATGTATATTCCGAATAAGCCGTCAAAGTACGGAATCAAAATTGTTATGCTTTGCAACTCG